CCACTGAGGACTAGAATCTCAAGTGTCCCAAGCATTTTTCCAACATTAACTACTACACTGCATAGCCTCTCATTCCAACCCCATCCACCTTCTGCTTCCTCTTACCTATAACGCTGCAGAGAAGCCGCAGGCTGGTGGTGTCGCCTTCCCCGCTGTCCCGGGGGTTCTCCCTCCATGAGGGGGGCAGGGGGACGCACAGCCCAATGGGGCGGTGGAATTTCCGCCGGCGCGGCTCCACGGTCACGATGGGGCTGAAGGTCGCCTGGTTCCCCAGCAGTTTCGTCACCAGCTCATCGGGCACCGGTTGCGCCTGCAGGAGGAACAGCCAAAGGGGTTGAGAGGGTCCTCCTGTCTCTGAATTCAAAGAGAGACTCACCTCTCTGCTGAGGTTTCCCACCCACTCCCTTTAGTCTGTTAGAAGTCAGTATGTTTGCTTTATTTGCTGTTGATCTGTTCACAACTGTAAGTAGTGAAACATTTTTATTCTTTCTCCTACAAATGTCCCAGAGCGAGTTATTAAGACTGTAATTGCCACTTAATGAGAAAGGAGTGGACTATCTTAGGAAGTTGTAGCTATTCCCCTCTGTGAGTCTCTGTGCTTCTATGGCATAGCAAAGGAATTCTACCGAAAATCCAAATTCTGCACATTCTGCCGTTTTATGGAGACATTATCCTCCAGGTTACCTGCAAAGCAAGCTTGACCTTTTTGGTGACTGCTGTTTCCGGGAATGTGGCCTGGACCATGGGCACCAGAGTGCTCTGTAGACAGCCGCCCTCTGGGCCGATCAGGTCACAGTCCTGGCTCACGCGGGTCATGACCACAAAGTAGAGGGGAAAGTCTGTCGTGATGATGCGACAAATCCTCTTCTTTTCCAGTTCCTCAAGGCTCTCCAACTCTAGGAAAGTGGACACAGATGTTGTACGAACACAAGAGCGACGCAACTGTAAATTCCAGAGTGGTACCATCACCATCAGATAGTTAAAACTGTACTAAAGAAATGAGTGCATCCTATAAAAAAGCAGCCACTGGAAAGGCTGCAGAAAGTTTCACCGGCAATCCAGCTGGTCCCAGCAGATCTGTGGAACCACACACCTTTGGAATAAAAAAGGGACTTTGCCGGAATGTGGCCACACCGAAGACTCCATCCAACCCGTCCCTTTGAGCTTCTGCCCCACGGGGTCTCCCCCCTCTTGTGGCTAAACGAACATACCTTCATCCATCCCGTTAAGGACCTGGTCCAGGTAGTTCTCTCCATAGCGGCTGCGGTGCTCTTTCCACACGGACCCGTTCTCGCTGCGCAGGACCACCAGCTGCCGGTCGCCACGCCCATGCGAGGCAAAGTGAGGGATCTCCACGATGACAGGGCTGTGGGACATTTGTTACAGAGTTATTTAGAACGTCTGTACGTCTCTGTCTGAAACGGTTATAGGAAGGAAGAGCACACGTCTTCTTTTGCCATGCGCATGCGCACCCACACCACAAACATGTCTGGAGCACAGAGCACCCACAACCCATCTGACTCTTCACTGGCAATAGTAGCATCTTTGGGGGAGGGGAAGAAGGATGCTTCAAGGACCCCTAGCCTACGGACTAGCCTTCACCTGAGGAACTGTGCTCCAGCAGGTCCCAAAGCGATAATCCTGCTGGCCAGCCCTTCTTCTTCAGCCAGAGGAGGTGGTGCTGGTAGCTTCTGGGGCTTGACCAGCCGGCAGGTGATTCGCGTAGGTGCTGCACAAGTCCTGGGTGGGATGATGACGCGAAGACCATTGTGCCTGCTGCCCCGCATGGACCCTCCGCGGGCATCCACCATAAAACTCACCAGGAACCTGGGGGTGGGAGGAGAGAGGTCACCTTCAGTTGCCCCAACCCTGTCGGTCCATGAAAACACCTCTACCCCATTTTAATTCAAATCCATCTGCACCTAATCCAGTGGAAGTGGTGGGGTAAATGGACAGCGTAGTCACTCCCTGAGTTCCCCAAGGCCAAGCAGGGGATTGAGATCAAGTTGGAAGCAACTTGTGGGCACCGAACAACCACCTTAAGTCTTAGTCAAAAAAAACTCCACCTATGACACCCCATTGTCTCTGAGTGACCATGGGCACTTTGCATCCCTTCACACATGCGTGCGCATCCTTAGAGAAGGCAGAATGAAGCGTGTGTATATGTGAGGGGGGGCATCACTCACCCTGTGTGGACGGGGCTGGCCACCGGGCTGATGTTGTCGGAGGTCTCTGTTGCTGGACTGCTTGGGATGAGGGACTCCTCATCAAATTCCTTGGAAGGCTAGATGGGACAGAACGGCACTGTAAACACAGGTCTGGATCCCACCAATTCATGCGGCAAGGAAAGGATCTCTTTCCCAGCCATCTCCACACATACATACCCAGCCTTCCTACTCTTTGACGCTCCATCTTAGACCTGCTTTGCTCATACAAACCCTGAACCCTCAGCGGCGCCTCCGGCTGCTCCTACCTAAGCCACACCACTGGCAAAAAGTGGGAGGTACTGAGCATAAACTTGCTTGGAAAGTGTGTGTGTTCGTAGATTCCGGGAGCTTGGACCTCCAAGGCAGGGCAGCTGGTGGCTGCTCATCAACGGGAAGGCAAAGGCACTCTTCCTAGGCTCAGAGATATTATAGTCTTTGGGATATTCCAGGGTGAAGTACTGGGGGGGGGTGGAGTGAGAAGGGGCCCATAAGGCCATCAAGTCCAACCCGCTGCTCAAGGCAGGAATCTGAGGCAATCTGACAGGGCGCTGTCTAACTTTCTCTTGAATCCCTCCCATGCTGGCGGGCTCACTAAGTGTCTGTGCTAACACTCTTAACCCTCATCCCGAGTATGAAGACTGTCCTTGAAGCTCACATCAATGGACAACGGCAACTTTTGGCCCTCCTCATGTGTCCCCATGTTCTAGTTCACTTTTCGGGGGAGGCTGTGTTTTGGTGAATCCTCAGATTCACGAGGGCCTGAACCGGGGTTATTCCTTCAATGGGAAGGCAAAGAATTCCACACCAGCGTTCCCCGAAAGCCTCTAGCCAGCACTGACCAATCTCTCCCTGCTTTGAGAAGTCACCAGAAGAGGGTTGGGCGTGGTCTAGATCACATTTTAAAGCATTTTTAAGTGTTATAAATTATGCCCTCCATCCTCTCCAGAACTTTCTGGAAGTAACAAGACTGGAAAAAAAGGCACTCTGAAAGTAGAATCCTGGAAAATCACTCCACCAGGCTACTAATAATGGACAGGTAGAAATGCTCCTTGCCCGCCGTCCTTATTTATATTCAGGATGCATATGATATTTTGCAAGTAAAAATGCTAAAATCGGGAGATACAATCATCCAAGCACAGAACAGTCAAAAGAACAGAGATGATAAAATCTTAGGAGACTGGAGCAAAACACAAGAGAGGCAAAAATATAACAGCAATCTGGAACTTAGAGCAGCTCATGTGGGAAGCTCTGGAGCAGACAAAAAGATCTTCCTTTGGTACTGAAAAGTGCAGGATTCAGTCAAGCTGCTCTTGGAAAGACAGTTGGTGTATTGGGTGTTGTGAACAAGAGGAACACCAGCCCAAATTCTTAAGGTGGAAGGACTTTGAGAAGGACCTTCGTGGAGAAATGATGGAGGACCAAGTTCTTCTTTTTTATGGGTCCTCCAAACCCCTGAACCACATACTCACCTGCTCTGGTTCCTCAGTCCGAATTACCACAGGCTCAGGTGTGACACAAGGAATTCGTGGGATAGCTGGTGATTCTTCCCTCCTAAGGTAACAAAGCAAAACATAAGGAACAGAGAGGTGGAAGAAATGATAAATACAGCCCTACAATGGTTTTCTGGCACTCCTGGCAGATCCTTCTGCCTCTGGATCTAGCAATCTCCTCCTCCTTGGCTACAATACCTTAAAGGTTTGTCATAACAAAGCAGGGGTTTGTGAATCTTCCAGCTTCTCGCTCCTGGTGAGAAACCGAGGGTGGGTGGATGGGAAACCTCCGTGTTCTCCTTGCACTGGGATTTCTCTAAGCGGAAATACTTGCAGGGTTTCTTAAATGCTACATGTTTTTGTATTCTTCCAGAAGAAACCCCAAGTTGCAGAGAAATATTACAACTTCTACATCAAACGGTGTGCACATCTCAGTGGTGTGGGGTAGAAATCTCAGCCAGGAGTCTCGACGTGGCAAAACTCAGAACATGGCTAAGATCAAGTCATTTTTTTAGAAATCCTCTCCATCTCTATAACCAAATTCTTCTGCCTCTCAGTGGATCGTTCTCCACTGTTATTCGTAGTAAAGATGGGAGGGGCGTCAATGAGCTTTAAGGGATCCCTATCTTCAGGGTTGATTCCCCCTTTCAGGAATTGCTCTGGAGAACCGTCCCAGACCCCTCCGCCCTCCTCCCACATGGACCCCCTGCTCTGAACATTTCCTCTTACGTAGCATCCAGTTTGGGAACGAATTCCACGATTTCTCTCTCGTCCTCTTGATACTGAAAATCCCGTTTGTGCGTCTTGGGCCCCGGCAGCTCTTCTGAAAAAGTCGCAAGTCTGAACACATGGGGCAACTTGGCCCCTATACCCCCCGCCCCATTTCCCATGAAGGTGCCAAACAAGCAAAGCAGCTTAGCATCATTTATGGTGAATTAAATCATGGAGAAAGGCTAACTCTTCTATTGCCCTAAATACATCCAGGCCAGGAAAGGGGCTGAGGGAATCTGGGCCCGTAGTGTGGGGCAGAGACCAAAATGAGTTTGGGATCCCTCCCACGTGTTCTCAGAATGAATACGGTGGTATCTTCTGCTCTGCTGGTTCCTTCCATTTTTTTCTCTAGTAAAATTCAAGAGCCTAAGCCGCATGCGACTGAAAGGTCCTATGGGCACCATCCATGGCCAGAGAGCGAGGGGTGCTAAGACGGAGCCTGGTACCCCCATGCCAGGTGCCACCTTTTGAGCGTAACCAGGAATGGTATGGGATCCAGCAGAATGAATAGACCAAACACCAGAGTAGATCAAGCAGGGTTTTGGGGATGGTACAGATAATCATTTCCCAAACAATTTAGAGTGGGTTGTTTGCAATGGCTGGCTGGATAACTCGATGTCTTACTCATTTCCCAAACAATTTAGAGTGGGTTGTATGCAATGGCTGGCTGGATAGCTCAATGTCTTACATATCAGCCTGCAGAGCCAGAGGCAGGGAGTTCTATTCACCACAGGACCTCCTGGGAGAAAAGCCATCCTGTGTAGCCTTGGGCAAGCTGCACAGTCCCAGGGTGTGCCCAAAAGAAGAGAAGGGCAAAGCACTTTTGAATACCCTCTGCCTGGAAGATCCGTTGTATGCAATGGCTGGCTGGATAGCTCAATGTCTTACATATCAGCCTGCAGAGCCAGAGGCAGGGAGTTCTATTCACCACAGGACCTCCTGGGAGAAAAGCCATCCTGTGTAGCCTTGGGCAAGCTGCACAGTCCCAGGGTGTGCCCAAAAGAAGAGAAGGGCAAAGCACTTTTGAATACCCTCTGCCTGGAAGATCCTGGAAAGGGCCCCTAGAGGAAGGGAAGGGAAAAGCACTTTTGAATACTCTCTACCTGGAAGACCTTGGAAAGGGTTGACGTAAGTTGGAATTGACTTGATGGCACATCATCATCGTGAAAAGACCTTTTAAGACTGCAGCTCTTAGGATTCCATTTAACCTGCATGGCTTGTACAATTCTAAGAGCTGTTGTCCCAAAGACTCACTCTGGTTAGGAGAGGGATATTGCTTCTTATGTTAGACACACACACAAAGCTACACTCTGGTTAGGAGAGGGATATTGCTTCTTGTGTTAGACACACACACACAAAGCTACAGAGCAGTGCTCCCCAACCTTGGGTCCCCAGATGTTCTTGGACTACACCTCCCAGGAGCCTTCACCATCACCTCTGCTGGCCAGGACTTCTGGGAGTTGTAGTCCAAGAACATCTGGGAACCCAAGGTTGGGAAGCGCTGCTCTGGTGGATGGAAGGACCAGTCCAGTTTCCAAGTGAGGAGGCTTGTCTGTCAATGGGAAGGACAGATCAAGTATCTCTAGTAACATTTAGCAGATGTTACTACCAGCTGCTAGAAGTACAGAAGAAGAGGACGGGAAGGGCAGGTCAGGGAATGGCTCAGATTTCTCGAGGATGGGGAAGGGAAGTGGTTTGTGTTGACAGAGGGGAGAGGGAGGCAACAGAGGTTTTAGAAAGCAACTAAAGGAGCCAAAGTTAGCCAAGGTACAATGGAGAGTGGTCCATTCTATAGGAGAAGGCTTGGAAGCCACATGTCTCCCCAGGATAGCCAAATAAGACCCAACCCTGGCTTCCTGGAGTGTCCTTAGCTTGCAGATTGTCAGCTGACACATAGCGGCAATGAGATGAGTGGCTACACATGCGACCTCCCGCCCCCACCCGGCCACCTCTCCTCCGCACAGCCACAGACACAACAGGTAGGTAGGAGGGCAAGCTGGCCCGCCCGGGAAGCTGTGTGTGACATGGGGTGAAGGTCCCACATGGGGTGGAATGGGGCAGATGGGTGAGCTAAGCCCACAGCAACAACACACAGTCCATACCCAGGAGAGATACGTGAGCTGTGCCTGGAAAGCAAGGGGAGAAGAAAGCAGATTTGAACTCTTGGCATGAGACGGCGGCCACCCTGGTGGAGCGCATGGCCAAGATCCAGGCACCCACTGACCATCCCAGATCAAAAACGGAGGGTAAGCAGGAAGGAGAGTTAGAGACCGACCCTCTTCCCAGACAGGGTGGACATTATTCTGGAGAAGGCAGGAAGCTTCAAGGGAGTCTTAAGCCCCAGTTCCTCAATACCAAAAACCTAAAGCAGACCAAAGTCTGGAGAAATAAATGGCTGGACTACAACTCCCAGGATCCCCTGGCCAACCTGAGCAATAGCTTGTAATCCAGGAAACCACAGTCCAAAAGAAGTTCTCCTCCATGCCCTGTTTGCTTCCATATGGACTACAAACTTACTTATTTGGAAAAAAAAAGAATATGCCAAGATTCTGTGAATTGAACCCGGCACTACATTCTGCACTTTTAGGTTGCTCTTGTGTTTACAGTGGCACACCCAAAGCCTTGTAATAGTCTTGCATCACAGGGGCATGTGGAATTTCTTCTGGGTAGTGAAGAAAACCCCGTTAGTCTGAAGGGGAGGTAGAACTCAATGGAGGCAGAGTTTTGCATCCACTAAGATGAATTCAAAAGCCATAGAAATGCAAATCTCAGCCTGTTGCAAAACCATTAAGGATCTCAGCCTCTTGCAAAACCCGACATGGGCCGGCCCTACTGTTAGGCAGCCTCTGAGACCTCCGCCTTAGGCAACAGATTCAGGGTGTCACAACACAGTTGTTTGATTTGTTATCAACAAATTTAACATGTGTGTGGTTTTCCAGGACAAAGTCATGTTTGACTGGCTTAAGGGATGATGGCTGAAAAATAAATGTCACTTGCAGTAGCTCTCCAACAGGTAGGAGGAATAAGGACAGGGAGGAGAAGGGGACCTTTATCAAGCAGGGAAAAGTTAGGGATCATTCGGCTCCCACCATTAATTGCATTTACCCTCCTTCCCTACCAGAAAGTTTCCAACACAGCTGGCAAACCAGAAAATAATTGCAAATGTTATCTCCTCAGGATACTGGAAGATTTACTGATAGATTTAGTCTCGGCATAAGTAAATCTTCACTTTGATCCTTGCTGGACCAGATTACGCAAACTTTTCATGTATTTTTCACATTTCAGGACTGTGAAAAATTCCAGAAATGGGGTGGGATTTTGTGGTACCAAACCCACTGCATTTCTGCTGGACCAGATTACGCAAACTTTTCATGCATTTTTCACATTTCAGCACTGCGAAAAATTCCAGAAATGGGGTGGAATTTTGTGGTACCAAACCCACTGCGTTTCAAACATAAAATCATGTATTTTGCATTAAATATCTTTTTGGGGGGAGGGGTTAGAAAAATACAAGTTTTTAAAATGCAAAATAGAAGCATCCTATCCAAAAAAACACAACAATCTTTTTTTTAAAAAAAGCTGCTGCTGACAAAAAAAAATGCTGTATTTTTTGTTCTTGTGTAGGGGCAACAAAGCTTG